CATGTTTCGACCGACTTCTACAAGCCGTAGAACATCGTCTGCCCGAGATACTTGCGGTACAACTAACGCCTTACCTTTAAAAGGAAAGGATCCCCGACCAGTGGAGAACCTTAGGACAGTCTTTCTTCCTAAGTATAGGAGGATCCTCAGAACTACCTTCCAATATGCCTGCTGAGCATGCTTTACAGGTACTTCAGGAAGATTATTTTCATTCGCATATCAAGGACACTGGATGAAGTCCAACCTGTAGAACAAGCTGGATTTCGTAAGGGATTCAGCTGGGTGGATCACATCCAGACGGCTTCGTGGATTATCGAGGGCGTGGAGTACCGCTTACCTCTCATCGTAACCTTCGTCCACTATGAGAAAACTTTTGACAGCGTTGCGACTTATGCTATAGTGTCAGTGCTCATCGAGTAAGAGGTGGACCCATCTTACGTGGAAACATTGGCCGACTGCTATAAGAAGTGCTCTACAGCGGTACAGCTTTTCCATCGCTAACTTATTCAAACGAGAAAGGTATAAGAGTTGATGGGAGATTCCTCACCTTCGTTTCGCGGACAAACGAAGTAGGGAAGCGGGTAGGATTGCGAATCAACCGGAACAAGACACATTTCATGACAAAAGCTTTTTGTGAAGATTAAGAAATGGAATTAGAGCGCTCGCCAATCGCGAGGACGTCTTTTTACGCATACTTCGAGCCTTCGATGAACTTCGATGAACATGGAGAACGATCTGAAACAACAACTAAACAGGAGGCAAAGAGCAGCTTGGACCGTCTTCGGGCGTTCAGAGGAAGCCACAGACGAGCTGACGGACCCAGAGATCCGGGCCGCTCTTCTGTTTAACGTACTCCCTGCGCTTGTTACAGCAAAGACGTGGCCTGACACTGTGGCTACGTCGAAGGCCTTCCGAACAACCCAAAGGTGCTGGAACGATGTCTGCTGAAGTAGACCCCACGCATTCAATATATGTTGGAGTTCGCAGTTTAGATTTGAGATCAATGTCTTGTCTCCTCGATCCCGCGGAATACGTCCCTAAGGTAAAACATCGATGGGCTGGTCATATAAGGAGAAAGACAGACGACAGATGGGCACTAAGAACTCTGGACTGGATCCTTCGCGAAGCAAAACGTTCTTGAATTAGGTCACTGACCAGGCAGGCCGACGTT